TAAGCAGACATTCTCTCATTTGAGCAATGCTTCCAGTTTCTTTTTTTGCGTTGGTTATGTTCAATATAGAGTCTCACTTTATGCCTGGACCAGCTTGTATTGTGATCTTTCTATTTGTGTTTCCCTTTGTTAGTGGAATGACAGGCTAGTGCCACTGTACCTAGCTTTTTTTTTTTTCCGGTCACGGGGCCTGAACTCTGGGCCTGGGCACTGTCCTTCAACTCTCCAGCTCAAGGTGAGCACTCTATCACTTGAGCCACAGCACCATGTCTGGCTTTTTCTGTTTATATGGTGCTGAAGAATTGAACTCAGGGCCTCATGCATGCAAGGCAAGCACTGTACCACTGAGCCACCTTCCAAGCCCTGTGTCTAGCTATTTGATTGAGTTGTAGTCTTTCAAATGTTTATGTCTGGGCTGGCCTTACACCATGATGTCTAGCTCTCCACCAGCCAGGTAGCTAGGATTCCAGGCTTGAGCCACCATGCTGAGCAGCAATCATTATTCATGAAGAAGAAATGGAAAGAAATAACTTAGACATATACCAGAGAATTTGAGGTGTACTCATTATAAAAGGTTTAGTGTTGTAACGAGGCAGATAAACCTGCCAGTAGACAGTTACATACTCTTGGCCACTACAAAAACCTAGGCTAAATTCAATACCAAGGGCAAGACAGTCTTTAATCCTATACTGCCACCTGCTGGCTAATTATGGAATAAAAATATCTGGAAATCCCTATTCTCATGAAGTCAAAATAATGTGAAACTAAGTTGATCCAAGATGTTTGCACATGGGGCTGGGAAGGTGGCTCAGTGGTAGAGTGCATGCTTTGCAAGCATGAGGCCCTGGGTTCGATTCCTCAGCACCACAAACAGAAAAAGCCGGAAGTGGCACTGTGGCTCAAGTGGTAGAGTGCTAGCCTTGAACTGAAGAGCTGAGGGACAGCACCCAGGCCCAGAGTTCAGGCCCCACGACCAGCAAAAAAAAAAGAAAAAAAAAAAAGATGTTTGCACAGTTAGGTTATGAGATTAAAAGTTTTTTTTCCCTCAAAATAATCTGCACAAAGATTAGAAATGTGTTCAGCAGAATGACTGCTTGGCATGCATAAAGTTCTGAGTTTGAACCCTAGTTACCACCTTGTAATTAATAGTATCAGAAACAGCCATCATAGAAGTAAATTAAATAATTTTAGTGGGGTAATTGAACATACCCTGAAAGCAAATATAGGAAATGCTGGAACAAAAAGAAAAAGGATACCAGATTCATCAGAGCATAGAACTGAGAGCAGAATGGGGATTCACTTTTCCCTTAACTATAACAGATGGGTTGAAATACAAAGTAGAAGAAAAAACCCTCAATATACATTTTCTCATATTCTCTCAACTCAAGTACATGGCCAGGTAACATGAATTACATTAGGTGTTATTCTTTTTGGGGACTATATACTACAAGTAAGAAATCTAAATTAACAAAAAAAAAACAGTTGGAAATATACTATTTCAACAGTGAAAAATCGCCAGATGTATTCTCTGTCTTCGTGTGTCTCTGTCTCTCTGTCTCTCTGTCTCTCTGTCTCTCTCTCTCTCTCTCTCTCTCTCTCTCTCTCCTCCACCTCCTCCCTTTTCCCTCTTTCCCTCTCTCTCTCCCTCTCTGTATTCCAATCTTGGGACTTGAACTCAAGGCCTGGGTACCATTCCTTAGCTTTTTCACTCAAGGCTGGTACTCTACCACTTGAGCCACAGCTCCACTTTAGGCTTTCTGGTAGTTAATTGGAGATAAGAGTCTCAGGAGTTTTCCCGCCCAGGCTGGCTTTAAACTTCAATCCTCAGATCTCAGCCTCCTTAGTAGCTAGGATTACAGGCTTGAGCCACTGGTACCTGGCTTGGATGTATTTTCTCAGTACTAATTTATATTACTTTTTGCTGTGCAATTTTAATATTTTAATTAAAAACATAAGGGAAGAAATATATTTTTCCTCAACACTTATGAGTTGATAGCTAGGATAGATTCTGTAATGGAAGATAGATTAATAAAATGGTCGAGTTTATTATGTGCATGGTGCAAATCACCTGAGAGAAATAGTGAAAAGTAGTTCACTTTTCACTATTTTTTACCACAGATTATTTTTTGTGTGCATATTTGTTCCAGCTGTGTTATCTTGTTTTCTGAACAAATGACCTCTTCAAATAAGTGGTAGTTCAGAACTCTGGCTTATGCCTCATCTTCAACAAGGAGCAACGTATATACAGAGAAATGACTAGACAAACGAGAGCACATCTGGGCTTGTACAGGTTAGAAATGGGGATGATTAAGTAGAAGAGATGAATAAGGTCTGCTTGCTGATTACTTTGGTTGCTGTCTCTGGGCAGATAGGATAGCTACACTTGTTTCCAAGAAAGAATTTATGTCCTATCTTTCAGTTGGGAAGTGGGAGGATAGGAAGAACTATTGCCCTTCTTTTTTTTTTTTTTTTTTGGGTCCGGTCGTGGGGCCTGAACTCTGGGCCTGGGCGCTGTCCCTCAGCTCTTCAGCTCAAGGCTAGTGCTCTACCACCTGAGCCACAGCGCCACTTCCGGCTTTTTTTCTTTTTGCTTATGTGGTGCTGGGGAATCGAACCCAGGGCCTCAGGCATGCAAGGCAAGCGCTCTACCACTGAGCCACCTTCCCAGCCCCTATTGCCCTTCTTAATTGACTTAATTAAACAGTATATATTTTTGTCATCAAAGATGTAAATCCTGGTGTGTATCATATCAAACAAGTGTGGAGTCTAATGAGCATCCTTGTAACTACCTTCGAACTGGAGAATGTCCCTTCCATTCTCAACAAATCTTTATTTGGTGGCATATCAAGATATTCCTACTCCTTTTTTTTAAACCCTAAAACTATTGTTCATTGATGACAGTTCTTGTTCAGTGATTAGAGAAAGGCTATTTACAAACTCAGATCTGGCAACGGTTGTGCTTCATTACTGGAGTAGCACCATTTTTATATTTCTCACACAGGAGAATATTTCAAAAGTAACTGCTGAAGGGCTGAGTCAGAGTTTTAGGGACATGTGGATTGTAGTAGTGTGAGGAACTCCTGTGACTATGTAAATATTTATAAATACAAATAAACTGATGGATATTAAATGAGTTAATGTATAAGGGACTAAAATACTACTTTCTTCCCTTAACTTTGGTATGATCCTTCCTATCATTGACATTTTGCCTGCTCCTCCTTTTACTGAGAGGTTTGAACTCAGGGGGAAGGGGAGTAGGGGAAAAACCAGAGGCCTGAGGAGAGGGAGAGGTTAGAGGGAGGTTAAGGGGAAAACAGTCTGGAGGGAGGAGAGAGGAGCCTGGAGGACACATGGACTCCTGAGGACAGGGTAGTCCGGAGGAGACCAGGACTCCTGAGGAGAGAGGAGAATAAGGGAAAGTGGGGAGTCCTGAGGAAAACAGGATTGAGTTAGCCTGGAGGGAAGGGAGGAGTAGGGCAGAGCAGGCCTGTGGAGAATGGAGAGGCCTGCAGAGAAGGAGGAAGGGAAGAAAGGGAAAACCTTCCCCTTTGGAGCTTTGGAGGTGTGAGGTTTGGAGGTTTGCAGACAGACTAATAAACGTCAGGGGGTCAGGACTGCCTTCTGGAGGCTTGGAGGTTTGGTGGATGAGGCTGCTCTTGGTTCTGGGTATCTAGGACAATGTAGTCTCAAGACCCTTTTCTGGTGTAAATAGTGTAAATAAACTTCTTTTGTCCACCTTTCACTGTGTGTGCCTTGATGGATTGTCTCGCTCTCTGTAGGTCATAAGTGAACCATGCCTCAAGCCAACTTTTATTTATTTATTTATTTTGGTTCGGCTGTAGGGCCTGAACTCTGGGCCTGGGCGCTGTCCCTCAGCTCTTCAGCTCAAGGCTAGCACTCTACCACTAGAGCCACAGCGCCACTTCCGGCTTTTTTCTTTTTGCGTGTTGGTGCTGAGGAATCAAACCCAGGGCCTCAGGCATGCAAGGCAAGCGCTTTACCATTGAGCCACCTTCCCAGCCCTCAAGCCAACTTTTAAATGCCAGTCCTCGTGCTTTAAACTCAGGGCATAGGCACTGTCCCTGAGTGGCTTTAGGTCAAGGCTGGCTCTCTACCACTTGGCCCAGGCCTCCCACTTCCAGCATTTTTGGTGGTTCACTGGAGATAAAAGTCTCGAGACTTTCCTGCTCAGGCTGGCTTGGAACCGTGATTCTCAGGTCTCAGCCTCCTTGAGTAGCTAGGATTACAGGCTCGGCACCTGGCATTTTCTTCTTCTTCTTTTAAATGATAGCACTTTGAACTATAATTAGGTTGTCTCAGTTTCCAAGTTGCTGCAGCTGGAGTCGAGAGGGGCTGAGGAAAGGGAAACATCTGGCGGGACACCCCTACAATCCTGAGATCTGAGGACCGCAGTTCAAAGCCAGCCTCGGGCAGGAGAGCCCATGCGACAATTATCTCCAATGAACCACGGGAAAACGTTGAGTGGCGCTGTGGCTCGAAGCGGTGAAGCGCTCGCCTTGGGCCAACCAGAGCTCGGGACAGCGCTCAGGTACCGGGTTCAAGCACCGCGTCCGACCCCAGCACCCCCACCCCCAACAACTCAAAAGCGAACATCTAATGCAGGACCCTTTGTACACTGCAGTGGATTAGACACCATTTGATTTCGGGCGAGTCTTTCCGTTCCCGGGGATGAAAAATGCAAATCGAGGATCACACGTCGAGAGGGTAAGCGCCGCGCCACACTGAGCTCACGGCGTTCACAGCCGGGAAGCGTACCGCGTGTGACGTCAGCAGAGGACAGCGCGCGTGCGTCCTGTTAAAGAGCCGGCAGCGTGCTCCGCTGGCCCTTCCTGAACTCTCAGCCCCGCCCTCAGGTCCGCCCAGCAGAAGCCAAATCACCAATCACCATTCGCCTTTTCTTTACGTCATCTCTGCGTGCCCCAGCTTTAAAAGCTCCGAGGGGGCGGGCTCCTAGGCTTGCGCGTGCGCATCTGGGCGCGTTCCTTTCCACGCCGGCTTGGCTTCCTCCCCTCAGCACCTCAGGGAGGCGTTAGGATTCTCGGGCCGCCGTCGCGATGGGCAAAACTCCTAACTCCTTGGGCTCGGGAGGCCGACCCGACCCGGTGAGGAGCTTCAATCGCTGGAAGAAAAAACACAGCCATAGGCAGAACCAAAAGAAGCAGTTGAGGAAGCAGCTGAAGAAGCCCGAGTGGCAGGTGGAGCGCGAGGGCATCAGCCGTCTGGTGCAGAGCTACGAGAAGGTGCGGCGGGGTGGCCGGGGGTCCGGGAGGGAGGCCGCGCTGTCACTGGGGCCCACCCGGGGGGGGTGCTGGGCTGGGAGATGGGGTGTCCCGGGGTTGTTTGGAGGCCTCACAGAGGGCCTGCGTGGTGTCAGACTCACAAGCCCAGACTCTTCGGCTCACCACACTGTTCTGAGGTTTAAAAAAAAAAAAAAAGGAAGAAGAGGAAAGGAAAAAAAAAAAGGAGAAAAGAAATGCAGTGGTACTTAAAGACAGGGAGACTAATGCAGTGAGAGACGCCAATAGTAAGGCTCAGTAACGTAAATGACATACCGGGATGATAGAGGAGTTAGCATCCCAGTGTGGAACGTTAGGGGAAAATAATGGAAATAATATCTATCTTTTAAAGTACTATCCATTTGATTTTACAGGATTGTTTTTCTTCTTTTTCTTTCCCTTTCTTCTTCTTTCCCTCCTTCCCTCCCTGCCTTCCTTTTACCCCAGTCCTGGGGCTTGAACTCAGGGCCTGGGCACTATCCCTGAGCTTCTTTTTGCTCAAGGCTAACACTGTACCACTTGAGCTATAGCACCACTTCTGGCTTTTTCTGTTTATGTGGTACTGGGGAATCGGATCCAGGGCTTCACGCATGCTAGGCAAGCACTCTACCACTGAGCCACCTTCCCAGCCTCTTTTTTTTTTTTTTAACCTTATCTGAGAAGTGGATCCTAATGTCCCCATTTTATAGACGGGAAAATTAAGTTTGGAGAGGACAAGAAACTTATCCCAGGCTCTCATATCTAGTAGGTGGTGTAGGGTCGGAACCTAGGCCTGTGTCTTTCTAATGAAAGCTTCTGCTTTTTAATCCATTAAGCCAGACTGCATGCCTTCCTCAGTCATCTGTCTTCTCCTGTGTCCATCTCCTTCTTCCTTTGCTTTTGTTCCTATCTAAAAATCAGTGTAGAAAAGCCAGACTGACTGCTGGTCTGTGCCTTTTGGTTGTCATCCTTCCCCATCAGTGCAGCTGCTGTTTCCAGATGAATATCTTTTCTAGTCACCATTTTGACCTGCAGATGTCTTTTCCTACCTGAGCTCCTTAGAAATGTCATTACCTACCTTTTCTTCTTCCTCATAGATCCCATATCCAATGATCTTCACACACATCACTGTCTTTTTGTGTATGCTACCTTTCCAGTTTGGAACATACCAGGAATTAAAGTCATTCCTTGTTACCCTTGGTATAGCTTTCTTTTAAATGGCATTGACTCCACAGTAAGGTTAATTAGAGCTTAGAGTTTAAGGATTTGTTTGTCTTTTGGAACTCTAAAGAGTTCAGATTATGATTCGTTCCTGGCTCTTGTTCTATTAGTTTTTGCTTTTTTTTTAAAAAGGGATAGTACTAGTACTTACCTCATAAGTGTTACAGAGAATTAGTCAGTGCACAATGCTAGTCATGTGAAAATACTTTGTATATATACTTCACATATTATTATTTCCACTGTTGTATACACAGCACTTGAAACCACCATAAAACAAATTAATTGTGGATTTTGTTTTGGATTGTGACTAGATTTGCTAAGGGAATATAGAAGCAGCCCTTCCTTGCTTTCCTTTGTTGGACCAGTGACTCCTTATCTTTCACTTAGCTTTTCTGAGTTTATGTTTTTATTTCTGACTGTGCTGCATATCTTTACCTGATTGAATCATGAGATGTTTTGAGATATAATGGAATCATGAACTATAGTGTAAGTCATTTATCTTTTCCATGTGCCTCAGAAATTCTTCCTGAATTCATAATTCTCCTCATTCAATTTTTACTGCCGTGGTAACAAATTTCCACAAACTTTGTGACCTGAAACAACAGAAATTTATGCTTCCATAGAGGTTAGAAGTCTGAAATCCATTTCACTGAGTCAAAATCAGGGTGTTAGTAGGTTGATGCACCCTATTGAAAGGCTCTTGGGGGATTCTCTGTTCCTTAGCTCCTCTTGGTTTTTGGCTACCTTACTCTAATTTCTACTTCCACATTCATCTTGTCTCCATCTGTTTGGTTAAATCTACCTCATTTTGTTTCTTTTGTTCAAGGATACTTACATTGCATTTAAGGCCAACCCAGGTTAATGTTGCTTCTTAGAATCTTTCAAAACATCTGCAAAGTCTCTTTTTTCCCCTCCTTCCATGAAAGGTAACATTCACAGGTTCTAGTGGTTAAGACCTGGATTTATTTGCATCCTGGTGCTTCCATCTAAGCAGACTACCAAGCTGGAGACAGGAGTGATCCATAGTACTTTTCCTCTTACCTGCTCTTATATCCTGTTTGTTAACATTTCTGATCTCTTTTGCTGCTAAGTTTCTCACATGTATCTCTACCCCTACTGTAACACAAGAGCTGCCATAGAAATACTTAAAGGCATAGATATTGTGCTCTAGTAAAACTTTAATGAGTGAAACAGGTGGCTGATGGGCATTGGCTCTTGTGCCTTATACTCTTGAAAGTATTTTCTAGACCGCTGCTAAAATGTTTCTTTCCAAGAGAAAAATTCCAGTCATTCTGCTCTTAAGGAAAACGCTTCCTTGGCTCACAGTTACTTTGAGGAAAATCGTCAAATATCTTTGTGTCAACATATCTAGTGTAGTGAACGAGTGTGTTATTTATAGTCAGAGCTGAAGTTTTGCTGGGCTTGGATTCATAATGTATTTGAGCCTCAGTT